AAACAACTTGCAAACACCAGACCATGATCTATACAACATGTGAACATCATCATCTTACCTGAAGACGTGAATCAGACTCGGCTCTGCTCAGTCAGGTTCAGTCCGATAAAGGCAGGACTTCATCTTAGCTCCACACTCTGGCTTTTCAGCAACAACTGACCTTTCTTCTGATTATAATGGAGGTTATAATGAGGCTGAGAAACGTTAATTACACCAAGTTACATCAGATCCTTTGCATCAAAAATGTAAATTGGACACAGGATAGCAAAGGAACACCAGAGGGACCGACTTTTAGTTTCTTTTGTGGCTATAAACAAGCATCTGCAAAGTAAACACAGACACGTAATTGTCTTTACCAGGGTAACAACTGTCTGCTTCAGGTGTCTGACCTCCTCATTAAAGAATTATTACAGAAACTCTTATTTTCCTTCAATTACTGGTTGTGCACATGAACACCTAGTACTGACAAACATGAATGTGTGTGCTTATCTTCCTTGACCACAGAGTCCAGAGGGAACATTAAGGACACTGACCATGAACGTCATAACTTCGCACTATGGACTTTCAACAACTGGTTTTTATTCTACTTATAATGAGGCTGATAAATGTTAACTACACAAAGTTACATCAGATCTTTTCCATATGTAAACTGGACTCAGAATAGCACAAGAATACCAAAGGACTGACTTTTAGTTTCTTCTGTGGCTTTAAATAAGCATCTGTGCTTTGAGTGAAATGCTAATGCTACCATTGCAGCATGCTCACATTCAACGCTAATGTGTTGATACTTAACAGGAGACATTTATAATCACATATGAAAATGTCATAGTGGAGGAAAAATCCGAGGATCACCAATATAATTAGAATACATACTCAAGGAAAGGTGAATATTTGTATATAAATTTAATGGCAGCTCTTCAAAGTTTTTTTTACTATTTCCTGAAACAAGAGTTCATTAAAAATAAAAATCTGCATAGCTGCCATAGCCAGTTTAATGTCTCAGCTGAAGGCTTACTTCGATACCAGGTTCTGCAGCCACTCGATTAGACAACTTGATGTATTTGTTTAGAGCCTCTGAGTTTTCTCTTTGGGTGTTGGACTCAAAGCCACATCACATTACAACAGTACACCCTCCAAAAAAAGTCCTCTAATATGCTGAGCTGTTTAGTAAAAGACTTTTCTTAAGAGTTTGATGCTTTCACTGGGACCAATCTTAGAAGGTAATGATGGTTAAGTGGAAAGGACCTTGCAGAGATTTTGAGACTGTAGGCGGGTGTGCTACAACACTGAACAAACAAATGACTGATGCAATATACAGTTCATAAAGACTAGTTTTTAAAAAATTATGTCATCAAGTATGTTTATGTGCGTCATAGTCATGTTTTCAAATGGATACAAAGATGCCTTTCCTTTCCAGTCAGGACACTGTGCTGATGTCCTTCGTGACTGAAACAGTAGCAGACCTGAACCTGACCAGAGTCCTTCTGATGGACTCTTGCAGCTCCTTGTTCCTCAGACTGTAGATCACTGGGTTCAGGAAAGGAGTCAGAGCAGCGTACAGCACAGCTACAATGATACGAACCTGAAAAAAAATGGACAAAGTTCCCCTCATTAAATACTTGTCAAGTTATCGTAAAGGCCAAATGGTCAGTCACATCGGATTTACTGAAAGGCATTTATGGCTACCAGGACTTTGTCCAAGCTGAACCATCTGACAGCTGTAGGCATATTACCAACCACCTGTTTTTAAACATGTGCATTGTCACAAGATTTGACTGGCACTCGTCACGTTATATCATGTTGTGGTGATTGATTTCTGCAGTGTTTTAATGGTGCTCGACTCAAATATTCACCACCGGCATTTTACCTGGACTAAAATATTTGCATCAATAGTGAATGATAGGTCACATGTTGGGAACTAAAACATGTCCAAGACAAATTAGCTTCATTGAGGACATGATATGGCCTCAACACCTTCTACACCTTGTTTGAGACCTCCAGCTACAGCACAGAGAGGACGCATGCACACATCTGGACCACCCAACCCCCCACATCCCCCCACTAACTGTCTCACCAGGCCAGGTACGCACAATCCTGAGAAAGATCGATCCCCGCAAAGCAGCAGGACCGGACCACATCCCTAGGAGGGCTCTCACAGTATGTGCCAGCGACCTGGCTGATGTTCTCACCACCATCTTCAACCTCTCCCTCAGCCAGAGCATTATTCCCACCTGCTTTAAGACCACAACCATCGTCCTCACCACAATCAATATGAAGTGTTTTGAGAGAGTGGTGCTGGCCCGCATTCAGAGCAGTATACCGGACACCCTGGACCCCCTGCAGTATGGCCCAATGGGGCCACCTCAGATGCCATCGCGGCTGCCCTCCACTATTCCCTTTCTCACCTGGAAAATGGAGACTCCTACATCAGGATACTCTTCATGACTACAGCTCCACCTTCAACACAGTGTTCCCCACAAACTGTCCACACTGGGTCTGCACCCCACCCTCTGTGACTGGCTCCTGGACTTTCTGACTGGCAGGCCCCAGACTGTCGGGATTGGCAACAAGACTTCAGCCAGCATTATCACGAACATCAGCACCCCACAGGGATGTGTCCTCAGTCCAATCCTCTACACCCTGTTCACCCTGTTGCCTCCCACAAGGACAACATCATCCTAAAGTTCGCAGACGACACTGCAGTGATAGGTCGCATCACTGGCGGGGATAAAGCAGCCTACACGAGGGAGGGGGCCGGGCTGGTGTCATGGGGCAAGGACC